CCCCGGCCCCCGGCCCGGCCCGCGGCCCCCGACGCTATAGGCCGAGCGCCCTCCTAATTTAACGGAATGCTGCGCAACGCCAAAGGCGGACAAAGGCAGACTATCTCTTCCTTTCGCCATTAGAATTCGCCGCGGTGAACTCCACGTCCAACCTCTCCGACAAAGTGGGAGGAAAAGGGGCAGAGAGAGAAAGAGAGAGAGAGAGAGAGAGGAGGGGGGAGGGGGAAGCGCCGACGCCACCCCGCGGTTCGACTCGGACGGATAGTCACCGCTCAGCAGCGTATTCGCCAATTTCCAAACTCACTCCGTCGGAAAACTTCACCGGGTGGGAGGGATCTACTTCAGAATATTTTCCAGCAATCGGATCTGCACGCGAAAACTTTTCTTTTGCGTCCATGGGAAAATGACTTAGGGCTGTTGCCTCTGCTCTTACTGTCGGACTCGCGAATCGTTGTGATTCTCGGCAAATTGTATTCATATGTCATGGCAAGCACTAGCCTCGTAACCGGCACCTCTGCATTCGTATCACTCTCCCTCCTGTACAAAACATATTGCTACTTCTGTTCCTGTAAAATATTTGCATGATGAAGAATTGTTATTTTAAATAAGTTAAGAAAGTTTTTATTTAGAAAGACGCTGGATATGTTTCACTGTTTGTCGGTGTTATAAAAACGTAAGTCAGGTTTAGTTTCTTGTTCGCCATAGATGGTTTTTAAATCTATCTTTTCTATACGAATCAGTATCTCTTTTCCCATATCTCATTTCGACAATAAAGTGATAATCCCCCGCCTTATCAAAAAGGGATATTCGTCGAACAATTAGAAAGAAAAGTTTCCGTTATGTTAGCAAGGATAAAACTACGCGTGATGACTGATGATATTATTGGGTGTGTTGTGGGAAAGAAAAGACATCGTTAACAACGAATAAGGGGAGACTTCGCTTGCACTGATAAACCTAGAGTTAAACCGCTAACATTTGTAAGTTTACAACTTCAACTGACTGCAACTTAAATACTTGCAAGTGTGTAACACGGTAGTGGTGCACTAGCAAGTGTGTAACTTTGTAGTGGTGCACTTCAAAGTGTGTAAATCCGTAGCAATTGACTTGCGAAAGTGTTCAACTCAGTAGTTGTGCACCTGAAAGTGTGCAACCTTTCTGTTGGTCACTTTTGGCGCAGTGAGCGTCCCATTTATGAAAGTGTTCAGCAGATGAGGTGCACACACAAGTGCACAGGTTCCGAGTTGAACACTTGCAAGTATTTATCTTGGTTTATCAGTGTGGATGTTGTTCCCCATGCTTGACTACTCTACAAATCTAAATGTATAACCAGATTACAGTTTAAACTGAAATAGGGAAACAAAGATGCTAACTCCTATACCTTCCACAAAGGCACTAACGGTTGAGTGCATTTTACAAAGGGACTGAAAATGCTATTTAGTGCCTTATGTTGTGCCTTTGTGAGCCACTAAACTGAAAATGTCTTCAGTGCCCCAGGAAGGGCACGACTTAGCCCCCTTTTAGCAATGTGCAAAACCAAACATTTTACAGTTCAAACTGCAAAACAAGAAGTCTTGCAGTTTAAACTGCAAAACTAAGAAATTCTATAGTTTAAAGTGCAAAAGTGCGTATTTCTACAGTTTAAACTGCACAACTGAATAGGGCTAGTTTGACAGTCCTAACTGTTTAACATTATTGCTTTGAAGTTTAAACTGCAGAACTTATTAGTTTCACAGTTTTAACTGTCGTCTGGTTATACATCGAATTTTCAGAGTACTTACACGATATGTTTAAAGATAATTGAAAAGTCAACCTTGAAGTGAGGCTACAAGTGCTCTCCCAATGCGAGGTAACGTTGGGCGACAGACGTTCTCCTGCCCCAGCGCCCGACGACGGCCCGACCCCGACGCTCCCGCACTTGGGCGCTCGAGGCGGGCCGCCGTCTTCACACACCTGCTTGGCGGGTTGGCCTATCCAGTGAATAGCAGGCGCTTTCACTAGGGCTGCCTTATGAAACGTTTATTATGGGGACACCTTAAAATCATCTCTAGAAGGAAATCAGTATCACCCTTTCCTTACATCAGACACACAAAAGTACAAACGTACAACCAGAATTGTTTTTTATAGAATAAATCACTTCGTTTCATCATTAGACTTAGATCTTTCCGATTAACACAGTATTTTTGTATAGCGTTACGTCCATAACAATAAAGGTATAATTTTCACTAGCTACTCTTGTCTGTTTAGTCCTCCTCTCCTCCTTTCATGATGACATATCAGCAAAGGCCCATCAGCAGGAATTCAGCAGGGGAACAAAAAGAGAAGGCGTCGCGAGTAGCCTATTATTCGCAGACGCCATTACTCTCAGCGGGAGGCCTCCCTCGGGAGACGTGTGGGCGCTGGGAGGCGGGCTGCGGGGGCCTGGCCCGGGCCATGCACCTCCTGGCCGTCAGCCAGGGCCTCTTGTCCGCGTGCCCTGCCTCCTGGCGACGCCACGCACCACCAGGGAGACGTAAGGAACAAGACTTGAAGGAAAACAATTTTTCCTCAAAATATGTTCATTACCACAAAAATAAATGGTTCAATTTTTAAGTTAATCTTGTAACTAGCAATAATAGAATCGTCCATTCCAGTCCCTTCTTCGACACTGACGCCCACCCACACACGCCT